CCCCTTCTCCCCATGGCTGGACCAGTTCTCAGAGCCTGCCAGATGCAGACAAGCCCCTGAGAGAAAGGACCTTTTGAGGAAAGGGGGGCATCTCAGGGTTGCATAGGGAAGCCACACAGTGGGTGGGGGGAGGGTCTGGGGTGTCCCTGCAGGTGTGTGACCCCCACAGCTCTGTCAGTGCTGGCAGAGTATTGGCAGCCTGTCTGACAGGGCCTGGGGAGAGGGGCTATGCCACAGGTATAGTGGTGAAGGGACCCACGTGTCTGAGGACAGCAGGGGCCCTGGACCCAGCACTGCGAGTGGGGCGACAGGTGCCGAGGGGGTGCCTGCCCAAGGGCAGCGGGTGCATGCATGACAGCAGGTCCTACCTGTACGTCTGAGGTTCAGGGTTAAAAGCCCTGGGCTTCTGCAGGGAGCGGGCTGCAGCCCATGCCGATACTGGAAGGGCTTGCCTGCTGTAGGGTGGCCCAGGGCGTCGGGTGGAAGGGCGGGCGGGCAAGTAGGGGAAGAGGGGTCTGCTCCGCCCACTCCCATAGCACACCTGTCAGCTGCTCCAAGTTGCCTCCACCAAAGACCAGCCAGCTGTTGGGCATTTTCGTGGGCACCACCAGGCTCCCCATCACCGACCAGCCTTCCAGCATGTGCACCAGAGACGGCCTCAGCCACCTGCCACTCGGAGGAAAATGCGGATCAAAACCAAATCCGAGGGCCCCGCCCCCCCGTCACCACACCCAGAAACCCTGAACCTCCAGAGCCTGGTACATTCCAAGGCCTCCCGCCCCTCCTCCTAATCCCCAGGAGTCTAACCTCTGAGGCCCCGCCCCCTGGAGGGCTCCGGCACACACTGCCCTTCAGCCCTCGCCTGTGGCAGGGCTGGCGTGGCCACATCCAGAACACACAGTTCCAACACAGGAGACGCCACATGTGGAGGCCATCCTGGTCTGCACACTTAGATAAGCTGGATGAAATCATAAGGCAAGCTTTGTTTAGATCCACCAAAAAAAATTCTTAGGAGAAAGGGCACTAGAAGCCAACCCGAACATTCATAGCTAAGCATGAAAGACTAATACTCTGCTGCTGACGGAAAGCTCCGGAGGGAGAGCCATCTTTAATGCCTGAACTAAACTGTTTGGGAAAGATATTATGGTG